ATTTATTTTTCAACTTCCTCTGTCTCTCACCCCTTTCTCTCCTTTCTCACTTTCTCTATCTCTTTCCCACTAACCCCCCCGTCAAAAAAAATAAATAAATAAGCAGCACATCCACCACGTTTAACTGCAATTGCAGCTGAAACAAAGTGCAGTATGTATATGGCTGACTGCTGACTAGTTTCCACAAATACAAGAATATGACCCTGCAAGTTCTCTGTCATAGGTCACGATAATAAACAGCTTCAATGTCTTTGCAGTGATATGGGGCATTCTGTACATTTAATTGTTTTTAAAGTTTCTAAATTTCATAAAAGAGGATAATGCATTCTGTCCCTAAATGTTCATGTTTGGACATTCTGCATGACTTGAATGAGGAAGGAGAACATAATGGGCTGGTCCAAACTAAAACCACAATCTCACTTGCACAACATTTAGAGAATAATATCAGACCATTAAGACATCAGCAAGTAATTATCAGTAAAAACCGACAGGAACAACAAAGCTCAAAAGAGTTCAGACCAGTCAGCTTCATATTTTATTTTTTATTATCGTTCAGGTGATGTAGCATCAAAACACAGTTCATGGACTCTCTCATGGTAATGGACTCATGTGGAATCATATACCACAATAGCTTGTGTTTTCATTATTTACTCCTTGTGGATTAATGTTACTTTTGTTATCTTCAACTTTTCTTTTTATCATCTCCTTATCCTTCCTCCTGTGTCAGCTTTCTGTTCCTGTCTCTTCTGTTAGACGGGTCGGTGCTGACCCGTGTCATAAATCAGCCATAAAATACCCTCAAAACAATTATTTATCATCCAATTTGTTTCTTACCTCTTGGGTACCTTGTTAGGCTTCCTTATCCATGAAAAGATTGGTTTTAATATTTTTGGTGTGGCTTTCTGGATCTTTCTTTTGACAGCAAACCTCTCATTTTCAATAAAAAAATGATGGTAAAATAAACCTCAAGAGAATTATATAAATAAACTGAATTGGTCTTATCTTGCCTTGCATGTATGGGCATGCCTTGCCTTGATTTTGTTTTAATTCATTTTGATTCCTGACAAAGTCAAAAAGCCTTGATGCGGTACACAAATTTATGTGGTGCTTTTATGCATTTTAAACTTAAAAGCAGCTCGGTGCCGACCCTAACACCACAGGAAGGTTAAACTGTATTTACAGCAACAGGTTGCAAAAGATATTTTCTGAAATGGAAGCTCTCAGGAAGTCATGACTCAGTGGATGTCACAAGTGAGAAATTACCCTATTGCTCAAACAAGTTTTAATTTCCATGCAGTGTTAAATAACATAAAGCATGAAAAATAGAAATCTCAACATAGTGCACCCTCACTATGATTGCGGTATGATTTGTGTCACTGGTAACCAATACAAGATCACAGCCAACCACTGAGGCTGAGAGAGCTGACCCAGTCAGTACAAAGCTTCTGAGGGGAGGAAGGCTTCACTGCTAACATATTTTATCATGGTTCCTGGCCTGAAGACACCTCTGAATTACTTAACCCTTGTTATGAATTTTATGTAAGCATAGGGGCTTAGTGGGTAGCCTCAAAGTTCCTGTAGAAAATAAGTATTTACTAAGCTGAAGATAATGACACCCGTTGCAATTAAAATGAACCAGCACAAAAGCACAAGTGAGTCACAGGGATGTCACTCAACTTTTACAAAAAGAAACTCATTATTTAAATGTGACATTAACGATCACAAATAAAATCTCAGGCTAAAACATAATCAGAGACCAAATAAGAAAAGTAAAAAGAATAATAAAAAAATAAATAGTAAAAATAATTAAAAAATATTTTCAATAAAAATAAAATTATAAAAATAAGGTGAAGTCAAACGACTCAGAGGTTGCTAGTGGAGACATCCTGCTTGTTCCTGGATGGAGTTACATCTCCATCACAGTATCGTGAGGCAAAGGCGTACAGGAAGGTGTTTATGCAGCTATTAATGAAGCTGAGAGATCCTAGAATGTTGCTCCTGAAACCTCAAAACTTCTCCAGTTTGGCCAATACAGTCAGGTGAGATGATTTTAGCAAGATAGAAAATACCACACTGGCAACATGCACTGAAATCCAGAATATGAGGAAGGTTACTACAATGCTGATAATTAACTAGTCTTTTCATCCTCTGCTTAATGAAGCAGATTCTTATTCGGTTTTGCACCAGGGAATTTGGCCCTTACTCAAAACCTTCCCCAGAACAATAGAATATGAAGCGAGGACACAGGCCACCACCCACACACTCACCAGCAGCACCATCTCCCCAGTCCCACGCAGTCTCACCCAGTACTGGGAGTATAGAATCTGTACATAGCGCTGCACACTCATCAGGGTGACCATCAGTAAACTGCCATACAAGCTGCAGAAGACCATGTACATCATCAGTTTGCAGCTTGTCTCACCAAAATTCCAGCCGTAAAAAAGCTCATAGATCCACATTGGCAGACTGATGAGGCACAAGATGTCAGAGGCGGCCAGGATCAGCAGCAGCTTATGACAAAGTATCACAACGATCACTGTAATGTTTCCAGGGACACAGATAAGGAAGCAGAGGCCCAGAACCACACTGGGAGCCACGATATTGGTTTGAAATTTAGAGTCCCACATGTTCATGATGAGTTTGAGAGTGACTGCAGTGCATCTAAAACAAAAGTACACTTGACAGTAAGTAACATGACACAAAAAAAAAATTATGCATCAAACTCAACCTGGCAGGCAATTAATTTGCTTAATTAAGAGAAAAACATGAAATTCAACAAGGTGTTTTGGGTGTCACTGGTCCTATTGCCAGACTTTAAGTAAAATCACCCGTTTACTAAATTACTTGTAAGTTGAGCCCATTTTTTTTTTGTACATATTGTGAGTCAGTATAAAAGTTACACTAGTGTGAGTTAAGAGGGAAAGTGCATTGATACCTGTGGCGAGCCTGCCCAGAACAACGCTCGGACCCAGAGATGTGGGGCACAAAGGGGTTTAATGGGGTTAAGCTGGCCGAAGTACAAAAAGGGTTAAACAACAAGAATGGTCGTGGAGGAGAGCGTAGGTCGAAAGCCAAGGGAATCCGTCAGACAAAGGAGCACAGGACTGGGCGGCACCGGGAAGGGAGGACGCAGACAGCTGGGTTCAGCGGGAGCTGGGCTAGGAAAGGAAAGCAGGCAATTGAAGGGTGAAACAGCAGGCAAACGGGAGACGTACGAGAGAGCAATAGAAGTTGCTTGGCACGGCTCGATAACATCGGCGAAATACTTCGCCCTGTTCTGCCGGCCTCTCCCCTCTTTTATTGCTCCCTAACTGGCCTTCCTGGGGAGGAGCTTCCTGGTGCCGCCTGCGTGGGCGTGACAATACCAATCCTGGCCAGTTGTAGTGACACTGATTGTCCTGTGAGGGGCAGCACTGCCATTTGATTGACCTAAGGGAACATGCAACACTTTCAGTATGATTCTGATTTGTCCATAGGTGTCTGTCATGGCTTTTTTCGGTTAAGATTGAAATGTTATTTAGATTCAAAGGGAATGTTACCCCCTTTTGTAGGATTTTTCTTTTTTTTTGGGAGGGGGAGGGGTAATAGTTTTTTAGTTTTTAAGTCTAGTTATTTAGAACATCTGTTCCATCCATGTGTCAATCCTCAGTATGCATTAAACATTCTGTGAATTATGTGAAACAGTTTTGATTCTCAAATTAAGATGAGTCATTGTTTTCTTTCACGACTAAATTGCTGGTAAATTGCTGCAGGGAGATGCATGATTAAGTCTTATAGGTGGAGGAATTAGATAGGGAAAGCTCTGTTTTGTAGTCAAAGTGAGGAACATGACATAAAATATAGGATGTAGGATACTGCCTTGACCAAACCATTCACCATTAATAGCCTAAATCAAAATGCAAACCATGTGACGCCATGTGACTGATCTCTACTAGCAACCAGGCCGCCCTAACCACATTCTTGAGAACCTGTCTTTCAGGATTCTTTCAGGCTGTAGAGATTCCCGATAAAACTACATGCATAGCTGAGACATCATTCAGAATAGTATTTCTAAGAGTTTCACGCAACCTAATTGCAAATCGTCTGAAATGTACTCTTACTAAATAGCTGCGCTACTAGTGCGTTTGTTTATAACTGAAGACACGTTTTCTGTATATGTCCTTTGTGTATTTATCTCTTTAAAGGGTCTGAATGAGTGCAATGTGAGCAAGTGTCGTTTGACTTCATTTGACACAAAACAGTGGGCAGCGTGGTAAAGTTGGTTTTATATTCGATATTCGTTTTATATTCGGATTTGCCTCCCCTATATCTTTGAAACGACACCACCAAAAATCACACTCTCTGTTTCAGGAGAAAAT